TCCAACAAATATACATTATCCGTTGTTAACATGCCATCAATGAAAATGCCAACAATGAATGTAGTCTCGCTCTTGCACCTTTAACTTTGCGTTCTGATGTCCGCTCTGCAAAAAGCTGGCTTAAGTGTATTATTATGTGTAGAAAATAGCGATAAGTAACAGTCCACCGTTTTTCTTCTTGTGCTTTCGGGTGCGAGCACAACCGAAAAAGTTCATACTCTCACGCTCTCGCTCCGAGCAAGAGACTCTTACTGTGCAGTGTGTAAGTAGCGGATCGAGAAACGCTCGCACAATGAGAGTCAGCAAAAGACCGATGACCGAAAAACTCAACGCAAACGGTCTTCACATTTACACACACACGCTCAATTCACGATGGCGATTAATATCCCAGCAAGCAAAGTTAGGAGGGCTCTAAATTATGTGTCCGAAAAGAGCCGATTTTAAGAGTGTTTTCTGAGTAGGCGTTTGAGCATTTTCTGAGCAAATTTGGGAGTTGCTCCACATAGGCTCAAAAAGAGCTTCTACGTGTGAGCAAATTCGGAGCTGCGGTAAGTAAGTACAAAGTAAAAACCTCGCTTTAAATAACGGTGTGCAGATCGCTTATCGCAAAATGTTCTCAAATTGACAATTTTATTTAGTTTGAACCTTGAAGAAGGGTAAGTTGGACGTGTTAAAAGGAGTGTAACAAAGTGATTAAAACTAAGTAAAAAAAAGTGTTTCAGCTGAAATTTGGAATTTAACGCCAAAATGAGTATCCAAAGATCAAGCCGGTCTGAGTCTTAAAAAATAATTATTGACCTTAAGGCAAAAAATTGACGCTGTGAGGAACCGCTGCCATCAGAGCTGGACGTGTTGAATCAACCCCTAATGGATTCAGGACATACATATTTTGGAGGAACATTTTTTTGAAAATGATGGATACTCCAGTTATAGTAGTGACCTGTCTGAGCCTTCGGAAGAAATTTAAATCAAATCTCTTTGGGATAAAATGTCCAATTGGGCTGTTGCATTTAATATTTCTTGCTCGGCTTTAAATGAGCTTCTTAAGATCTTGCGGCATATATCACCTGATTTGCCGTTAGATTCCAGAACTTTAAAAAAAAAAACACCTAAGGATGGCTTTTGTGTCCCAATGCATGGCGGCGAATATATGCATTATGGAATCGCTGATTGCTTGACTGATTTTTTTGAAAACTTTTCTTTTAATGAAAAGGAATTAAAACATTAATATAAATATTGATGGACTACCACTCTTTAAAAGATCTAACATGCAGGCATGGCCGATTTTAATAAATGTTGACAGAACTTCCCCTGTGTTGCTAGCAGGCGTCTTTTGTGGAGAGAGCAAGCCAAAAGATATTAACGAATATCTTAATTTATGTATTTCTGAACTTTCTTCTCTTATTTCTTCTGGTTTTGTTTATAAATCAAATCGTTTCAAAGTAAAGGTTAGAGCTTTTATTGGCGACTCGCCCGCTAGAGCTTTTGTTCTTGGAACTAAAAGTTATAGCGCCTATTTTGGTTGCCATAAGTGTCATCAACGAGGTGAGAACTTCCAAAGGAGAATAATATACCAACTTCAAGAAAGTTTACCAAGAACGGATGACCAATTTCGAAATAGAACACAAATCGAGCACCATAATATTCTGCTTCCACTTAAAATTGAAGAACTTCCATTAGACATAGTGCGCCAATTCCCATTCGATATTATGCATACAGTTTGCCTCGGGGTAATGAAAAGTATGTTGAATGGATGGATAAAAATTAGAGGCCAGAACTACTCCTTATCTAAAGAAAAAATAGATTATTTAAATAACCTGTTCATGTCTTTAAAGACCGATATAACTAAGGAATTTGACAGAAACCCCAGAAGTATTTTTGATATGGATAGGTGGAAAGCCGTTGAGTTTAGGTAGTTTCTACTATACACTGGACCAGTAGTTTTAAAAGGAGTTTAAACTGAAGGCCGTTACGAACATTTTATGCAAATAAGCATTGCTATAAGAATTCAGCTTAGTGACGAGCATTGTTTAAGTAAAAATGTGTCCGCTAAAGAAATGATAATTTTTGTTATCGATTTTAACAGATGAATGCATTTTTTACCAATCAAATTTACTTTCTTTAAATGCTTTCATATATGAAAGTTATTTATGTAATGTAAAAAAAAATGGTTAAAAAGGAAACACAAGTTGGTACGCAGATATATAATCGCCTCGTAGAGCAAAGTATAAATAGCACATTAAGAAGAGATTCCAAATCAAAAGTACATATTAAAAAGTTGTTTGAATGGAAATATTTTATCAATTAAAAATAAAAGCATATATATGTCCCTAAATGGTCTAGATCATACGCAGGGTTGCCAACTCGGATATTAAAAAAGGCGTAGGTCAGATAAAGAAAGTTATGTAGAAATGTGAAATTGCCATATAAGAAATACGTAGATCTACGTACTTTTTTTTCTGAGTGAAATTAAGAGAGAAGGGTAGGTAAAAGTAAATAAAATGACAATTTATATTACCCTTAAAGTAGTAGACAGAAAGCAAACAACAAATTTAAAAATCAAAAAAAAATCTATGAATTATAGGTCTACCAGAATCTCATGGCAAATAAGCCAAACTTTACATGCAAATATAAAATCATCTATTTATTTATTACCAGTAAATGATCTGTTTATATAGATATTTATATATTTGCACATAGAGTATGAAATAAAAAAGGCTAAATAATGAATGGATTTTAATATATTTGTGTATAAAGTTTGGCTTATTTGCCACGAGATTCTGGTAAACCTATACCACCTGTATATAATTTAGGGGGGGTAAGGTTCTAAAAATTTTTTTTTTACATTTTTTTTTTTTTTTTTTTCTGAATGACCAATATGTCGAGAACATTGTGTACAAATTTTGAGTCAATTAAAGTCAAACTAACGGAGCTACAGCGTTTTAAACAACCGTATTTGAACGCATTTTCACGTAAAAAAATACTTTGAATCGATTTTGCCGAAGACGCTATTTTGAAAGTCGGTGAACATCAGAACTCAAAATCGAATGAACCGATCCTTTTCCAATTTTTAACACAAATTCTCAACATAAATACGCAGGTAATCAGGAAGAGTTTTTTTTATTTTTTAATTTTTTTCTATTTTTAAAAAATAAATTAACAGCGATCTTTTAAGCTAAAATTGCACTTTTCACTTTCAAGTGCTCCCAAAAATAGACAAAAAATAAATTTAAAAAAAACTCTTCCTGATTACCTCGGGAAATTCATTATCTTTACAACGCATATCACATTTTATTTTTAAGATGATCCGTTAACGCCCTATGATGTTCACCGCAAAACAACTTTTTTTTAGGCGCTTCGGAAGATTAACCGCCACAGGCTTATTTCTTAATATTTTTAAATCATTTTTTTTTCTAATACTCTTCAAAAGTTAAACAATAACATATAATTAAGCTCAATAAAATACACTTACTCATTTCGCCGCAAAAAAAAATCAAACATGGCCCTTTTTTTGGCTTTTAAAACCTAAATCAAATGAAATATTACTTAATGAAGATCTTTTTACATTACCTCTAAAATCAAGACTTTTAGGCATAAAATTATCCCAATCGCTAGTTATAATAGTTCATAAAGTAGCAGACGTTACACGAAAAGCTATTACTTTTAATCTTTTGTCACCAGCGCGCAAAATTGTTATTCCTTTAATTATAATAATAATGAATGATTTCACTGAGCAATTTTTGAGCACTGGTTCGCATTCAGTTGAATCAACTTTGGCCAATGAAGTTGCCTATACTCAGCTAACTTCCAGCTATGCAAATCCATCCACATCAAGTAAGTATAGGTTTGAAAATCTATCTTCAAAGAAAACTAAGTAATTTTGCACTTTTTAGATATGTTGCAGCTTATTTACGACCAACTGGAAAAATTTAACAAAAATGTAGAAGGTATAGAATAAAGACTTTTCAATTTACAAACTAAGCCAAAATATATTTTTATAGATCTTAAAGACCGCTTAATTAAATTGGAAGCTGATAATACAAACATTTAAACTCGCATCTTAACGGAAGTGATAGCACAACGAAAGCTTGTTCAAGGAAATAAGCCTTGTATGTTGCTACCACCAAAATCCTTCAATAAAATTGAAGACATCTTAAAATTTGAAGAGGATTTAAATAATTCAGCAGAATTGTGTGAACAACTTTAATAAAATGCAGTTGTTTCTTTTGTTAATATTTCCATTTTTTTATAGGAATCAGAAATCAAAAATTACAACATTTCTGATCCTGCCAAGTTTTTGCGCACAATGTGGAAGAAAATTTTTTCGGATGAGATTGCTGTGAAATATTCATGGAAGGGAAGACTCACAATATAAAGTGTGTTCTGAGCATGGCGATAACGACAGACGTGAGAAGTAATAATTTTTGCACTTAAAATATTTGACTTTAATCCATTTTCCAATCTTTTACTAAAATATAAAATCTGAATTTTATTGATTAAATTTTACCAAAAAAATGTTTCAATTAAGTGTCCAAAATGAACTTTTTTTGTGGCGATTTAAGTGCCTAAAAATGATATTTTTATGAGCATTTTCTGTGCGTTATCAATGCTTGATTAGGAGGGTGAAAGCACTTATTTCTGTGTCAAAAAAGAGTCATACTAGAGTCAGAAATTGACCTCTTAAAGTACGACCGTTTTCTCGAAAAAAAAGGCTCTTTTCGGACTCTTTTTTGGGCTCTTTATGATATAAAATGCTCATAAAAAACTGTCAGAAAACGCTCGAATTGCTTGCTGGGACTGAACACGACAAAACGGTGTTGGAGCAACCAGAACAAATCCGAATAGAAAAAAACAGTTGGGCGCGAGCTTATTCAAGACCCCATAAATCGGTTGCTGACCGAGTCTTTTCGTAAAGAGTCAGGAACAAGACACTTATCTGCAGACAACGAAAAACGGTTGACAGTTATTTGCGAGCTCTGAAAAAAATAGAATACAACTGCTTTAAAGGTCGGAAAAGACTCGATTATTATTCAACAACATTGAGCATTATTATTATAATTAAACAACATTCTTACGATCATAAACTTATCACGGAGTTGCCGATTTGAATGCTAACATCATGGATAGGTCTTTGTTCCCCACTACTTTTATTAAATTTTATAGAAACCGAAAATCGCTTCATAAAGCATAAAATTGAGTCACATAAATTTAATAAGAATTCAATCATAAAAACACCATTTTCACACCCGTAGTCGTAGTGCGAAATCTGTACCTGCAAGTAACACATGCCATTTATAAGTCTCCCGGATGATGGGTTTAAATTGACTGATTGGTCTATCTTTTTAAGTATCCATTTTTGAGGAGCTTCATTTGTAAAATTTAGTCCGGGGGGAAGTCTAAGGTGAAAATAAATTGTGTTTGTTTTAGTTAAATGTAAGGGCAAAATCTTTTGAATCGCTTGATTTTCAAGATTTTTTAAAACATGTAGTGGTGCATCAGTTTCACTAGTAAACGAAGCCTGGCTAAAATTTAAAGTAAATGGTTGAGCTCTCATCGTCTCTAAATTTATAATATGTATAGAATGGTTATTAGTATCAGACACTAACAAGTTTTTTCCGTCTACGTCTAAGCACAGTCCTGCCGGCTCATTCAAATTTAGCTTGGTATCTTCTTGACCTTTGATTTGTAAAGTGGAAATACTGTTTGAATCGGTGTCGACAACTTTGATTTTGTGGTTATAAGTGTCAGCCACATAAAGTTTGTTATCAGCATCATTGTATGTTAATCCTAAAGGATGTTGTAGTTTTGCATTAAACAGTTTACCGTCCACGTCGCCAAATGCAAACAAGTTCTATTAAAATTAAATAAAATAAAATTTAATTTTTAAAGTTTAATCAATTTACTTACAAGTGGGTTGCGATCCCCTCCAACGACAGGCATAACTTTTCCATCAATCATAGAAGCTTTACGTATGCTAGAGCTTTCACTGTCCGCTATAAATAAAACGTCATTTGCCATGGCTAGGCCAGACGGCTGCGCGAATGCAGCGTTTTGTGGGTAAGAATTATTACGATTCTCTTCCAAACCGTTTCCAATCAAAGATACACAACAGAGAGGGTCAAACTTTCGAAATTTCCACCATATAATTCCTTCTGGAAAATATCCCCAAATCTGGTGAGTTCCAGCCATAGAAATAAGGACAATAGTTTTTTCAGGCACATTGCGCTCATCGAGGTGAAAAGACATATCCATATCCCGAGTACGAAATATAGCAACATCCCAAGGCGATGATAATGGTTGTAATAAACCTAATCGTCCTCCGGTTCGTTCGTTTCCTTGAAGGCCTGTACCAGCAAGAGTTTCCACTGTTTCACTTGTCAATGATATCTTACGAACGGCGTGATTTTTGGTGTCGGCAACAATCAGAGTATTTTCATCACTAAATGCCAAGCCTTGAGGGTTATTAAACCTAGCAACCGTTAAAATACCGTCCACAAAACCAGCCTGATGTCCACCTATCTTATGCTGTACCAACCCGTTATTAGTGACAATAAGAACTCTATTGTTCCCAGTATCTGCAATAGCATAACGACCCTGTGGGCTTCGAGCAATCTTAGCAGGAAAACGTAAGTTAGATGCTGGCTGACAGTTGCTGGTTATCTGAATTGGTAAACTGCTGTAGTCAATTGTGCCCTGCCGACTGAAAAATGATAACGCAACACCAGTAAAATCTTTTAGAAATTTCCCATGACCTTCGCCCATAAGTAACAAGATGGGTTTACCAGTCGGGCTTAAAACCAACAAAGAAGGCCAACAACGGATGCCGAGAGTGTGCCACATGGCGCATCGTGAATCGTTAACAATAGGGTGTGTGATCCCATATCGTTGCACAGCAGCCTGAATGTTTGAAGTAAGCCTTTCATTTTCGAACTTTGCACTGTGAACACCAATTATTAATAGACCATTTTCTATGGGAAATTGTTCTTCCAGACAGTGAAGTTCCGGCAATACATGCATGCAATTAATGCAACAATAGGTGAAAAAGTCCAGAACAATCAATTTTCCTTGCAAGTCCTCCGATGTTAACGGCCGACTTACATTAAACCAATCTAAATCTAAAGAATTAAGATTTAACATATTTATAAGTTAATTTTAAGTAATGATCGATTTAATCCTTACCAGATTCAAACTGAACATTGACCGACATCAGTTTTGCAATGGAGATGTCGTCATTCCACCTCTCAAGAAAATCCATCAGCGTTCTAACTTTTTCCCTTTCCCCACAGCTGCTTCGGTATGCTTGTAGCAAATCATCCGTTATAAAAGTCAATATGTCGGTAAACGGTAATTCATCTGGGTAATCCATTTCAAAAAATATTTAACAGCGTCGTATAATTAGAAAAATAATAAAGATACATTCCTCATTAAACAGTGCTAGAGGTGGTACGAAAATCGATGTTAAGAGCTAAAATATCGCCTTTAATACCGTTTATAAGGGCTTCAGACTGAGCGGCATCTATTTCTTGAGTGGTCCCGAGGTTTTTGTCGTACCGAAATTTAGCATGTAAAAACTAACATTCTAAATTGCGTTTTCCTGCACAATCTCTAATACTTGTCAACTACCGTAAAAACATCGAAGATGCAAAATTTTCACATTCCGCCAACGGATTTCGAAAGTTAAGACAAAAACACATCATTTGCATATTTTACTTAATTCTTTAAGCTGTTTTTACCATGGACCGCACTTTGAAGCAATTACCCGACGTTTTTCCATACAAATACATGCAACAATAAAACAATGCTAAAAAAAAAGGTAAAAGGTGTAAATACCCTGCAGTTCCAAAATAGCTTTTTCCTATAAGGAAACTGGGTACGGAGGTTAGGCCGCACCGAGGAGTTGCGCGAGGAATTTTGTATGGGACTCAAGTTTTCTTTATAGGTGCAGCTCTCGATGAACTTTTTGGCCGTTTCATCGAACGATTCCTTGGTGCTTTATACGAATTTTGTATGGAAAAAATTCGTATAAGGCATAGAGGAATTCTTAGCGGAAGTGGAAGCGGGGTTTTCCTCGAGGATCGCCCTTAGGGAAATCTTATCTGCCAATGTTCAAAATTTCATCCCCAAATTCATATGAAAAACAATAAATATATATATATATTTTTTTTTATTTTATAAAATATCTTATTTTGTAACACAAGAGATAAGCACATTAAAAATATGAAATTCGAAAGTTTTTGTTTACCATTTATGTGGAGTATTTGCAAGACATCGGCTGTTTTGCGTCCATCTATGGTACAAAAAATATTTTCGTTATTACATATTATATATTACTTTTTTTTTAATTTAGAGCAAACTTACCTTTCAAACGAATTTATCGGACATACATATGTATGGCTGAATCCTAAAAAGATTTAAATAAGTTTGTAGTAAAAGACATAATATTTTTGTAATATTAACGACACTAAAACCGAGCATGCTACTCGCTATATGATTTATTTGCATTTGTTATATGATTAATTTTAAGGTAATTTTTCTAAAAAAAAAAAAAAACTAAAAAAGATGATGTGTCCATCTTCAGCCAAAGCGAATCTGTTTTTAATGATTCTCGCTGGGCACTTACTCAATGCTTTATTTTAGATACATACAGTGGCGAGCAAAAGTGAGTGCATGTTCGCAAAACTGACTTTCGTCGTCAATAAAAACGGAACGGTACGAGATAATTTAACAAAGTAAATTTTTTTATGTTTACTATTTTATTTATAACAAATGCGAAAAAGAATCAATATCATATAAGGTAAATTCTAAAAGTTAGAAAGAAAAAATCAAAAAAACACGCATAAACTCACTTTTGCACGTTTGAACCAAATTATTTAAATACAGTCGACTCTCGTTAATTCAAACCTGCGATAATTCGAACCTCTCTATAAATCAAAGATATCACGAGGTCCCTACGAAATCTCTTTATATTTCGAACTAAATCAATACATTTTCATACACTTGGTAATTCGAACGAAAAAATCATTGATATTTAACAAAACCACGCGTTAATTCGAACTCATCAGCGTCTAACACTCGACAATTCAAAGTTGCAGAGAAAAAATTTTGCAACAAGTTCAAACTTGCCTTTGTTTTTGTTTTGATTATGTAATTTTTGACGCACACACTTCTTACGAATTGGTTTGTGTAGTTATTCAGTTACTGTTACTCTTTCGTTGGTATGCATATTAAAAGTTAATGTTAGCTATGAGCCCTAGAAAGTATAAGGAACGTTTGGCAGAGGTGTCAGTTAAGGAAGCAAGATCCTCATTTGATACCTTACAAAGCTTATGTCTACAAAACGAAAGTGATGAAAAAGTATTTCAGGCACTTTTTCTCTTAAAAAAAGTTATTGAGCAGTGTGAGCAGCAGAATTGAGCCAGTATAACAAAGTTCTTTCGAAAATTTCGAAATTTCGAACCATTTGATATTTCAAACACTCGATAATTCGAAATATTTCAAGAGTCCCTCGAGTTTCGAATTAACGAGAGTCGACTGTATATCCATTTTAATATTTGGTCCGCAAACCCTTATTAGCCATAATTTTATTAATGCTTTTTGGCATTCCCTCTACCAAATTTTTTAAAACATCTTCAGGGATTTGATCCAATTCCGATGTTACACGTTCCCAAAGGTTGGCCATGTTTCTTGGGGCTGCTTCTTACTGCCGGAGCCGTTTTTTCAAAATTGATCAAAGATTTTCAATCGGATTGAGGTCGGGACGTTGTGCTGGCCACTCCATTAGCTGAAAATGTTGTTTGCCAAACCATTTTTTGACAATTTTCGGTGTGTTTCTCGGACTGCAGCTCAAAAAAGGCGAAATATGACGCCCAAACCGCTAGTCAAAGGTAGAAAAAAAATTATTGACAGACTCAGATGCTCGACTTATGATGTCCAAAATGTGAAAAGTCAAGCTGCTCATACCAAAGGGTGCTTCTATGGCCATTAATAAAAATGTTAGCCAGTGGACGGCCAGGAGAGCACTGCATAACATTGGTTATGTGTCAATCGTTAAACCTGCATTATCTGCCTAGAACGTTAAAGCATAATTGGATATGCTAAAGACGACAAAAACTGGACTATTGATGATTGGAAACGTGTTATCTGGTCTAATGAATCCAAGTTTAACCGTTTTCAATCAGATGGAAAGAAATACTGCTGGTGCAAGCCCGGTGAACGTCTTCAAAGGCACCATGTAAAGCAAACTGTAAAACATGGCGGCGGAAACATAATGGTTTGGGGATGCTTCACATGGTGGCATGTTGGCCCTCTGCATTTGGTAGAAGGTAAAATGCGAAAAGAGGACTACCTAAAATTTTAAAAAATCAATCTTCCCAATTTTATGGAAAAATATGCTTGTCCTGAAGACTAAATTGTTTTTCACCAAGAAGGGTGATCCAAAGCAAACACCGAAAATTGTCAAAAAATGGTTTGGCAAACAACATTTTCAGCTAATGGAGTGGCCAGCACAACGTCCCGACCTCAATCCGATTGAAAATCTTTGATCAATTTTGAAAAAACGGCTCCGGCAGTAAGAAGCAGCCCCAAGAAACATGGCCAACCTTTGGGAACGTGTAACATCGGAATTGGAACAAATCCCTGAAGATGTTATAAAAAATTTGGTAGAGGGAATGCCAAAATGCATTAATAAAATTATGGCTAATAAGGGTTTGCGGACCAAATATTAAAATGGATATATTTAAATAATTTGGTTCAAACGTGCAAAAGTGAGTCTATGCGTGTTTTTTTGGTTTTTTCTTTCTAACTTTTAGAATTTACCTTATATGATATTGATTCTTTTTCGCATTTGTTATAAATAAAATAGTAAACATAAAAAAATTTACTTTGTTAAATTATCTCGTACCGTTCCGTTTTTATTGACGACGAAAGTCAGTTTTGCGAACATGCACTCACTTTTGCTCGCCACTGTACATACACATATGTATGTATATATTATCCTGATTTTACTTTGCCTTTTTCCTATTACAAGTAATTTATTGAAAATTAAAATCAAAATCATTAACATGAAATGAGCGAAATGGGAAAAAAAAATCGAGAGCAAATCAAATCAATTACACGGAATTCGTGTACAAACCCTACCTTTCACAGAAATGCACACAAGTCCACAGAAAAATAGATTTTTGGCGCGCTTATCTCCTTGGCTTTCGGGTAATCACATCAGAGTGACCCATTAGGAAATATCAAAAATATATATAAAAAAAAAAAAATCAGCGATATTTGATATATCAGGTGGAAAATATCATGATATAAATATTTATTTTTGTCAAAAAATATCGATATATTGATCATTTGATATATTTTCCACAACCCTAGTTTTTATCATCACTAATGTATTGTAAGATGTGTGGGATATATTGCTCTATTGTACAAAGTTCAACATTTTGTTTGCATTCTATTTCAAATGAACTAAGAGGGATATTAAGAAATCGCGGCCCAGATGTGGAAAATGAGTTGTTGGTAGAGCTTGAAGACGGAAAAATAATTTTTGCAGGCAGCGTATTATGGCAACAAGGTGAAAATGTTCAAAAACAACCAGTTGTGGTGGACGATTTTATATATCTTTTTAATGGAGATATTTACAATTTACCCAAAGATGAGTCTATCTCGGACACGACTTGGATAGCGAAAAACTTTTCGGAATGTCTTAATGATGAGCAAAAAGTTCTGATGCTTCTGAAGAAATTGGAAGGACCGTATTGCTTAATAATGTATGACACAAAAGAGCAAACGCTTTACTTTTCTCGCGACTCCCTGGGAAGAAACTCGCTAGTTATTGAACGATTTTCGGAAGGAATACATTTATTAAGCGCGTCGCGCTCTACTCAGAATGAAAAAATATCATTGGAATTACCCCCATTGGGCCTTTACCGAGTAAAAGTAACTGATCTAACTTCGTGTGTGTTGTATCCGTGGCAGCCTTTAAACGAGTATACTACAAAGTTGTTAGGCAGTCTCGATTTTGCAGTTGGCTGGAAAACTACAGTAAACATACCAATATCTCCAGATTGGACTTTAAAAAGTAGTCTTCGATTTGATTACGACTTCTATAAGTATTCCTATACCGGCAACCACGTGGATCTTTATAAAACATTAATAAGTCAGCCTCAAATCAAGGAATCACTTACAACTCTTCATGAATTGCTATGCAAATCAGTGAAACATCGCGTTCAAAAGACTATCCCATTTTGCAAAGGTTGCCTTACGAATTGTAATCCTATTACCGTTTGTAAACATGCCAAGTTGTGTGTTTTATTTTCAGGCGGTATTGACTGTACCATTTTGGCGTTGCTAGCCGACAAGTTTGCACCAAAAAATGATCCTATTGAGCTTATAAATGTAGCTTTTGAAAGAGTTGAAGGTCAAAATGTATCCGAAAGGCTTTGGGATGTGCCGGATAGAAAAACTTCAAAGTTGTCTTATAATGAATTAAAGCAGCTTTGTCCCGAGCGGCGCTGGAATCTCCTGGAAGTCAATGTAACCCGTCATGAATTGCAGGAACATCTTACAACTCGTATCAGGCATCTCATATATCCGCTTAAAACTGTTTTAGATGAGAGTCTTGGATGCGCTTTCTGGTTTGCTTCTCATTGTAGCAGCTCAACTGCCAGAGTTGCCCTTGTTGGTAGTGGGGCGGATGAACTTTTTGGAGGGTATACTCGACACCGAAACATATTTAGGCAATTCCAAGGCAGCGAGTTGGAGCGCCAAAATGCCGTGCAAAGGGAACTTGAATTAGACTGGCAACGAATGCCGGCTCGAAATTTGGGAAGAGATGACAGGGTTATAGCGGATAATGGTAAAACGGCTAGAGCGCCTTTTATCGAGGAGAAACTTGTTAAGTTTTTAAGGTCTTTAGGAGCTTACCAAAAATGTTGTTTCACTTTACCTGAAGGTGTTGGTGATAAACTTCTGCTAAGACTTTATGGTCATCAAATGGGACTTCAAAATGTTGTATTGCTAAAAAAAAGAGCTATTCAATTTGGCTCCCGAATTGCGGACAAAAATCAAAAAGCTTGCGATTATTCGGACAAACTATAGGATTTTAACAACTGCCGAAACCTTACTTTAAAGTAATTATTGTCCATATTAATTTAATCTGATTTTGTTATTTCCGCTGTCTTGTTTTTCTTTTTAACCTAATCTATTGGGTCCACAACAAATAAAAATGTATATGTTATATATCAATTAGGAACGACAATACGCTTTTTCTTTTAGTTTGATTTCGGTAAAGTTGCGCTTTAGCGTCTTTTGCTAAAAATGGGCTAGGAATTTTTTTTAAGGGATACCTTGGGGCCTAAACATTAATAAAAAAAGTGTCGGAAAGCTGGATTTCTATTTATTTATTTGTAAAAATAGCAAAAAAAAACAACTAGCCATAGCTTTTCTGGATATGAACTTAGAACTATTAAATCACTCTGAGTCATTTCGCAACCTTTACAGCGTTCAGTACTAAAATTGGCAGTGTCTGACATGGTGAAATTGTTTAATTTCTTTTGTTTTTAAATTTTCACAAAATTGCATCACTCCTCATCCACAATACATTTTTCCCGGTAAAGTTTTTCGCTTGAAAAACATGGCAATGCTCTAAAACGGGTTGTCTCGCGGCAGTGATAATTGTTATTTTAACACATAAATAATAAAATAAAATAATAAAATTTACGCTTTCCGCCACTTTTTTATTAATGTTTAGGCCCCAAGGTATCCCTTTAAAAAAAAAAAAATTCCTAGCCCATTTTTAGCATAAGCCGCTAAAGCGCAACTTTACCTTGATTTCATTGGGGGGGTTTTAAAAAAAAACTTCCTGATTATCTCGGGAAATTTATTATCTTTACAACGAATATCACCTTTTTTTATACCCTTGCAGAGCAAAGGGTATTATAATTTCAGTCGGAAGTTTGCAACGCAGTGAAGGAGACACCTCAGACCCTATAAAGTATATATATTCTTGATCAGCATCACGATCTGAATCGAAATTCGTCGGTTCGTCTGTCTTTTTCTATGTAAACTAGTCTCTCAGTTTTAAAGCTATTTCGCTGAAACTTTCCCAAAAGGTGTGTAGTTAATGCACGCAGTATATAAGTCGGAACGAGCCGGATCGGGCGACTATATCGGATAGCTCCCATACGAGAGATTGAAAGAAAAAATTCTCACTCCGTTGTTTTTGATCAGATCGATTTGATTTCTTCCAGATGGCGTTTTCTTTTCTATTTCTATTGAATTTCGGTTTAAATTTTATCGAAATCGGATAATTCTATCATATAGCTGCCATAGGAGAGATCAAAAAATATATATAAAATTAATAGAAATTAATTGATAACGTCATTTTTTTCATCACATGACTATGATTTTTTGAGTATCAAGTTTTTTAACTAGCCTTGATTTATGAAACAAATTTCATAAAAATCGGACAACTATATCATATAGCTGCCATAGAAAAGATTGAAAAATCTATATAGAATTAACTGAAATGAAATGATAACATCGTTATTTCTCTTCAGTAAATCATGATTTTTGGAATATAGAGTTTTCTAACGACTCTTGAATAACAAATTAAATTGTATCAAAATCACTCGACTATATAATATAGCTGCCATATGAACAATAGTCAAAAATATGAAAAATTAATAGAAAAGTCGTCGTAGCTTCGATGTTGTTTAGCCTTGTGTATTCTGTTCGAAATATTTGATGACTGCAAGGGTATATAAGCTTTGGCTTGCCGAAGCTAGCTTCCTTTCTTGGTTTTTTGTAAGATGATCCGTTAACGCCCTATGATGTTCACCACAAAACAACTTTTTCTTAAGGCGCTTCGGAAGATTAACAGCCACAGGCTTATTTATAAATAATTTTTTTTTTAGTAGGGGAGACCGGGGGGTTTTGAGACGGGTTTTGTTTTTTGACAAAAAATATAATAGAAAAGCCATTTTTCTGCCCGTACAAATTTTTAAAACATAGTTCAGTGTAATTTCACTCAGACAAGAGTATAATTAGTTGAAATTTTAGTTCGACCTTCAAGTTTTGCCTGCCTGCTCAAAAGTTGTTTTTTATGGATTTTCGCAAGGTTCGGGGGGTTGTGAGACACAAATTTATAAGAATGAAAATGGCCTAATTTTATCAAAATTGTTTATTTTAATCTTTAATAAGGCATATTTTGTGGTCTACAATTTATTCAAATTGAAAAGATTTCGGCTTTTTCTCGATAGCAAACTCTTTTATAGCAGCCACAAAAACATTGACATCAATCGCAGATTTGGCAGTCTGACTATACTTATGACGCACCATGATGACTAAAGAAAGAAAAAAAGATCATCAAAAACACTGAATCCATCAAAAATATCAAAATTATCATTAAACGTTTTACTTGTGTACAGAAACACTATATCAGGCTATAAATTACAATTTTATGTTCCTAGATGACGCGGTAATAGAATGTCTCATAACCCCCCGAGAACGTTGTCTCACGACCCCCCAATAGCTATATTTTAAATATGGCTTCTGCTTTACGGACGCATTAAATGTTTATGCAAAATTTGTTCCGTGTTTCAAAAGGCTACTCACCAAGGAATGTTTCGAATGTATGCACTCTCGCAAATAGCTTGTAAAACAAAGCGAAAAGACAGCAAACACAGACCGTTCGATCACAAAATTGGAGTTGCCATTTGGGAAGACATAAAGAATCGGCATGAGCGGAATATTTGTGATGTGGAAATGAAGATTGGAAACAAGCAAGAAGTTTCACAGTCAGCTGGTAGATGTCGCGCTTTTTAGTTCAGGGCTGTAAGCGCGTCTCACGACCCCCCGTGTCTCACGAGCCCCAGGTCTCCCCTACTTTATGGGGTCTAAGGTGTCTCCTTCACTGCGTTGCAAACTTCTGACTGAAATTATAATACCCTTTTGCTCTGCAAGGGTATAAAAAGAAGTAGTTAAAGAAAACTTACCTAACAAAATAATAATCAACAATAGAAATATAATTATTCACAAAGATAATATAAAATTCTAAAAATATATAAATGTATTATCTTCCTTTTTTTACTTTTTCCAGAAAATGTTTTATCAGGTGATCATACTTCACCTTATTTTAATAACAAAATCAGAAATATTGGGTTGGCAAGAAAGTCATGTCGTTTTTTTTAGTAATCGTTTTTAATCTAATTTATTTACGACTAATCGAGCACCAGGGTTACACTTTTTAGTATCGTTTTAAAGCTTATTGTTTTAGATACTATCGACGAAAATTTGGTAATTATTCGATAACATTAGTGGAAGCTATAGCAAATTAAACATGGAGGACCAAAGTGAGCATTTTCGGCATATTTTGCTTTTTTACTTCCAAAAAGGAAAAAAAGCGGTCGAAGCTCGCGAAAAATTGTGCGAAGTGTATGGTAAAGATGCCATGAGTGATCGCCAATGTCAGCGCTGGTTTGGCGGCAAAAATTAAAGAAAAGGAGCCGGCACTAGCTAATCGCAAGGGTATAGTCTTTCACCATGACAACGCTAGGCCCCACACATCTTTGGTCACTCGGCAAAAATTAACGGAGCTGAATTGGGAAGTGCTACCACATCCACCTTATAGTCCGGACTTGGCACCTTCAGATTACCATTTGTTTCGCTCTCTTCAAAACTCTTTGAATGGTAAAAACTTTGATTCAGATGAGGCTGTCGAAAACCACTTGTCTCGATTCTTTGCTGGAAAAGACCAAAAGTTCTTCGAGCGCGGAATTATGCAGCTGCCCGAAAGATGGTCATTAGTGGTCGAACAAAACGGCCAATACATAATTGATTAATTATAAGTCCTGATATAAATAAATCATCTTTGAAAATATTGAAAAAAAAACACCGGTAGCACTCCGGGAGTGCCGGCAGAAGTGAAAACTTCAATATTAACGTTGTGTTTAATTATAAGTATAAAAGACCTATCATTTATGAGAGAGGTAGAATACAATGTTTATTTATTGCGCTTTCGTACACAAATATGGCAATTTATATGTTGTTATTTATAATATTATATCGTTATTTATATATTACATTAAATTTTATCTCTCAGAAAAATCAACTTCCATCCATAATTTCGACGACTTTTACACCATCGTTATTATCAGAATCATCATCGCAAATTTTTACAACTGATACAATTGGTTTATGATAACTGAAGTAAGAAACAAACAGTTTTGATTCGAACCCATTTAAGTGTAAGTACAAGGTAGTCTCGTCGGCTTTTTTTCCCCCTATTGGGCACTACAATGAGTGCGAGTGAGAGGGTGTTTTCCCGTAAGTGCGAAAGAAACAGAAGAAGATGTTGTCGTTTTACCCTTATGCTGTGCACGGGGTTTAAAAAGGACTGTTATATGACCATGCGTATTAATTTTTCCGAAATTTTTGGTTTTTACACAAAGCTGCCCTTCAGGACTCGCTCCCATATTGTTCACATTTCAAAATATTTTTCTGCAATATTACATGTTACGCCTTGTATGTGCTTGCTGCAATAATTGGAACAAGTATTTTTCACAAGCACACATAGGTTAACGTTTTGAAAAAAAATCGTCCGCGGACAACCTCTCACTTCGAAATCCCGAGCGCACTAAACCATAGGGGGAAAAAACCCGAGCGATTTTGCAGCCGACGAGACTACCTTGTATAATTGTACCATGACTCAGGCACGGCGATTTTGCAGCCGACGAGACTACCTTGTATAATTGTACCATGACTCAGGCACGGTAGAAAGAGTGGGAGATACTAGTTCCTCTCCCTTTCCCACGCTCTTACGCTTTTTCGATCAGCATAACGGGACCCTGACGCGAGTTTGAATGTTTTTACCCTGCTCAGCGCCGCTAAAGAAGTTTTCACTTCAAAAACGACATGACTTTCTTGCCAACCCAATAGAATAGAAGCAAGTTACTCTGTTGACGAAGAAACAAATAAATAAGTTCAACATTTATAACAATAACAACTTTAAGGGGGGGGTAAGGTCAAATCATGCGAAAAAAGCCATGTTTTTGTGATTTTTTTCCTGACGACACAGTTAAAATTTATTTATTCAACCAACGGTATATTAAAGTATGACATTAGAAGAATGTTTTATCAAATTTTTACAAAAAATATTAAAAAATATGGCAATGGTAGCAATTGTCCGGACGTGTCGCCAAAAAAAGTTAAATTGCGGTGCCCCTCATAACTCGGTGCTGGATCATATGAAATCAAAAA